TCCAGGAGAGGACACAGCAAGAGTCTGCGACCCAGCAGAGGGCGTTGCCCAGACCCTGACCTCAGACTTCCAGCCTCCAGAACTTCGGGAAGTACATGTCTGTTGTTTATAAACCACCCGATCTGTGGTGTTCTGTCAGAGCAGCTTGAACAGATTAAGGCAGTTGCCTTGCCCTATTATCAGCCCAGGGCCGGCTACCAGGCAACGAGGGGCAGTCCCTACATCCTGAAGGGCCCTGAAATTACTCAAACTCGCCAATCCCGAGTCTATCTAACCTGCTTTGTCCCTTTCTTTGCTGTGCAGAGCACTAGAAAGGCTTTTCCCATGCTCTTCCATTGCCCCTCTGCCTCCTGACTCTGGTCCTTCCCCACGTGGCCCTCTGTGGTATGTTGTGACTCCTGTTTCTAGAGATCCGTGAGTAAGAACTTCTTCCTTCATGACCCTCATTCCCGGGTCTGTGTGTCTTTTTTTTTTTTTTTTTTTTTTAAGATTTTACTTATTTATTTGACAGAGAGACCGCGAGAGAGGGAACACAAGCAGGGCGAGTGGGAGAGGGAGAAGCAGGCTTCTCGAGGAGCAGGGAGCCCGATGCGGGGCTCGATCCCAGGACCCTGGGATCATGACCTGAGCCGAAGGCAGATGCCTAACCGACTGAGCCACCCAGGCGCCCCCGGGTCTGTGCATGCCTGATGAAAACAAATTCCGGATCCACCTTAAACACTGCCCTCCTCTGGTACCTGTATGCCCAATTAGATTGGCTGTCTATTGTTGCATTACTAGTGACCACAAATTTGGCGACGTAAAACAATACACATTTAATCTTACACAGTTTCCTTGAGTCAGGAGTCCACACACAGCTTAGCTGGGTTTTCTGCTCCATAGGGGGTCACAAGTCTACAACTGAGTGGACGGCCAAGGCTGGGGTGTCATCTCAAGGCTTGACTGGAGAAAGATCTGCTTCCAGGTCCACATGCGGATAGGATTCAGTTCCTAGAGGGTGGTCGGACTGAGGATCTCTGTGCCTCAGTTGCTTTTGGCTGGAGGTGGCCCTCAGTTCTTTGCCATATGGGCCTGTCCCACGTGGCAGCTTGCTTCATCAAAGTGTGCAAGCTCGAAGGCCATAGAGAGAATCTGACAGCAAGACAGAAGTCACTATCTTACGTAAGCTAATCACAGAAGGGACATCCCATCACTTTTGCTGTGTTTAATACGATAAGAAGCATTCATCTCGTTCATGTTGATGAGGCCAAAGGATGTACGTATAAACATACACGTTTCCATGCTCAGCCCTTTTTAAAAGCTGAACTGAGCACAAAAGACCCCTCATTTTTTGACGAAGAAGCATCAGGTCTCCTGTTTAACAAATGGAAAAAGCAATGTGCATTACTTGGCCAAAGCAGACAGAGCGTAAAATATTTTAATTTCTAAAAATAAAGTTACGTCCAATCCTCTGAGGTGTTCGCCAGTTAATATTTAGAACTGAGGATTTAAAAATAATCAGTATCCATGAAAAGCAATCTCTCCCCCTTTTTTCTTAATGCTTTTTTGACCAAAAGTGTTTCATAGACTGAACTCTCTAATGAGGGAATATTTATATGACATACCAAAGCAGATGTGAGTCCCGTTTTATGAAACCCAAACCCAGATGGTCTTTTCTTTCCATTGTCTTATGTAATTTATATGAAAGCAGAACATGAAAAAAAATTCAAATGTAATTTCTTTTCTACCATTTGTGCTTAATGGCCCTGTAATCACTTTCATGGCCTCAGTTTCTCTGCCGAGTCTCCAGAGGGTCTGTGGATTAGCTCATGTCACAGAGGTGCTTTCCAGCAATTGGAAATGCCCAGCAAGAGTGGAAATGTCTGTTATCATGAAACATGCATTTCCAATTTAGGTTATTCTACCATGTGTCCTCCGTAGAGAGTCCAAAATACTCTTCTAATTTGAATCAGCCCAGAGGGTATAAACTAAAAGAAAGACCCGTAGATGAAAAATAAAATAAAATAAAAAAGAGACTGACCCTGAACTCAACTTCTTAAAATGAGTTTTCTTGGGGAGCATTCTATTTCGTTTGGTCATCTGTAGGGAAATGGAAAAGAGGATCGAGGGATGAAAGAGAGGAGAATACAAAAGGGCTCCGAGAGGTGTCTAGGAATTTCCTTTTGCTTGAGAATTCCTGGAATATGACGAGGAGAGGGTTTAATTTTTCCACTTGGCTTAGTGACAGTTTCTGCCACCTTCCCAGACATTACCTTGACAACCAATTCATGCTACGTTCTTGAGAATTCGTTAGCAGGCTCAGAACAGAATAATAACACCCATTTAGTTATCTTCTATTTAGAACTGTATGTGTAAATATTGGCTTCAAACACTCTAAAGGGCATTTGGAACTCCATGGATTGCATGAAATCGGCCCATGTAATGTAGTATATTTTCCAGCGCCTCATCAATTGTACAGTATTCATATATTCACAGTGTAGAGATATCTCGGATTCTCTTTGAAATTAAAAATTATTTTCTTCTCATTTCTCCTTGAGTTGCATTCCCCACATTCCCCAGCGTGTGAATGATTGGCCGAGCAAGGGAGGACTGAGTTCCTCCACCCATGGTGGGGGGCGGGGGGGACCAGACACCAGGAGAATTTTCCAGCGGGAGGCGAGAGCCAGCAACTGGGGTAGGGGGTCTTCAACAACCATAGGTAGGTGCAGGTAGGGAGGTCTGAGCAGCCGAAAGAAAATTAATATGGGGGCCTTGGGCACCTGGGGTCTGGAAATTTCCACAGGCCAAGGAGCACTAGCATGTGGACGTTTTTCTGAGCACAAAATTCTCTGGGAATTTATCGCAGGGCATTTGGTGCTTTGTATTTTTCTCTTTGTGCCTCTAAAACTAAATACAAAGGAAAAGGGGGGGGGTGCTTTCCACATTTGCAGGCAGCAGCTAAGAAGCAACAAGAGAGTTAAAAAAAAATTTACACACCGTTAAACTTAGAGTCCCTCATAACAATGTGAGGTTTTATGACAGATGCTGAAAATATGTGCCGCCCAACAGCGCTGGAGGACCGGGTCAGGGCCTCCGACATCTCACTCTCTCTAAGCTTATTTTTTCAGGAGAGGGACCTGAGAAGTTCTCCAACTCCGTTCACCACGTCTGTCCTTCCGACAGTACCGTGATTCCCCCGCCAGCCTCCCGACAGCAAAGAGAAGTCAAGGGCAGCCGGCCCTACCCAGCAGGCCCTGGGATGGCACCTGATGGACCCCGGCGGGGGGGGGGGGGGGGGGGCGGGGCTCGCTCACCTGCCCCGGCTGTGAGCACCGAGTCCCAGGGAAGCCTCACACGCGGAGGAGGATTACGAAATCAAAACGGTCCTGTGACTGCGTCTCCCACGGGCTCGCTGTGCCAGGGCTCCAGGGCTCGGGGGACTGTGGCTGGGAACGTAAAGCAGCGAATCAGAAGCAAACGCTTCATGGGGTTGGCGAACTGGCCGTCCAGCAAGTCAGAAGTCCCTGCCCCATTGCGATTTAAGCTTGCACAAGCAATGCCCCCTCGGGCTATTTCCTTAGCTGCCACCACGCGCTGCAGTGTCCCCGTGGATGGCCTGCTGTCAGCACAGCGACACAGCCCGCGACCAGCCCACCGTTAGAAAGAAACCTAACTTCTTCTAATCAAAGAAGAAACGAGGACGTTTGGCAGTGGAATGATTTATATCTCATAGGCAGCTTCACATAGTTTCAGAGTTATATCAGTGACTAAAACCACACAGTAAATACCTCCAGATTCAGAGAACTCTTAATATATAAATATATATATATATTTTTTTTTTAAACACGAACCTTCAAATCTAAGAAATGTTTTGGACATTTCCATAAAACACAATTGATTTTAATGACTCAGTTACCCCAAAGAGAGCCTTAATGAGTACCACCGCTGCTCCTAAATGGAAATCGTCCTGAATTTCAAGTCTTATGCACATAAAGGTATATTATTTGAGCATTTTTTAAAATGTAAATAATGGGGCGCCTGGGGGGCTCAGTTGGTTAAGCGACTGCCTTCGGCTCAGGTCATGATCCTGGAATCCCGGGATCGAGTCCCGCGTCGGGCTCCCTGCTCGGCAGGGAGTCTGCTTTGCGCTCTGACCCTATCCCCTCTCATGCTCTCTCTCTCTCTCATTCTCGCTCTCAAATAAATAAATAAAATCTTTAAAAAATAAAATAAAATAAAATAAATAAAATGTAAATAATGTCTCCTATGTCGCAGCGGTCTACCATTCCCCTAGCAAATGCATTTGGGTAGTGAAACCGTATTTTCCCCATTAGAAATTTTGTCTTAAACGAAGCCTCACCCATAAAAGCAAAGATAAGTATCTAATTGGAGAACCCTGGGAGCTTCAGGTTCGAATTTTTATCATGCAGCCTACTGCCTTCTTTGGCGGAAAATGGATATCTGCAAAAAAAGCACGCTGCTCTCTGCTTGTCACGTTTTTAACTTTAATCTCTGCTATAAAAAAAATTGCATTGTTGGCCCTTGAAAAGCTTCCATTGTCAAAAGGAAATATAATAACCTTTCCTGCAAAGAGGCCAGGTGCCCTGTAGTAACAAGCGTGGTGACGGAGCGGCGAGTGGTCTCTGACGGCTTTGCCTTGGTGATCTTGCTGGGTTGCAGGTGAGACGCTAACAAGCCCATGCTAGGGAGAGGCTGGGTGCACCACACCGTCTCCCACAGTGGAGCGGTGCTGTGGGGAAACTGCTGGAAGCCTTGGGAAATACAATAAGCTTGATCTCTCATGTGGGAAAGTCCATGGTGTTTAATAGCTTCATAAAGTGGCGTGCTTTTGTCTCGGTATATAAAGTCCCCAGTAAATTCTTACATTACCACCATTATAAAACGCAGCAACGGAAACGTTGAGCTGTGCTATGTGATCCCCAGTGGCAAAGGTTACGAAGAAGCAAAATTCATAATGACTTCCAAGAAAATACTATTAGAGTGTAATTTAAGGAGGCTTTGCGGCCGTAATTTTCAGCGCGATGCAAAACGTGCTTTCGTGACACACACACCCCACCAAAACGGTAACACTTCCCAAGGAAAATTGACAAGAACAAGAAAGAGGAAAGGTCAGGAGGGAAATGAAGAGTGTAAACGTTTGCGACGATTGGCTCTGCGGCAAGAGTTCCAGAAAGGAGACCACATGTTGCTCGATAGGAATCTGGGGTAATGCGGGAGGTTCTGCTCTCCGTTCTGCAAGGACACTGCTTTCTGCTCGCTGTCATTCAGTGCGTACCTGGACCCTATGCCCGGAGGCCGGGACTGGCATTTCCGTGGAATCATCATGGCTCCTGCTCGTATGCGGTGGACTCTCATCTTGATCTGGAGCCCCGCCCGTCACTCAGACCTGTGCGACAGTGGGAATCTGGATTTTCCCCAGGTCCCGTCCCCAGTTCGGGAGTGTGCATCAGTGTCACTGCGTGGTGGGGACAGTCAGTGAGGAAGAGGGCACAAACTCTCCAAGGGGATACTAAATGGAGCAAATTCTCCATCACCCGCTAACTTGGGCGGCGGGGTGTTCTGGTTATCTAACTGCTCACCTTAATATGCCATTAGCCGAAATGCATCCATTTTCTGGGAGATAAAAGACGATAATATGTATTTAATATCGAATTAAAGACTCAATACATTCCACAAATGTAGAAAGTACATTTTATCCGCTAGTCTTAGCACAGGGGTTGACAGTGTCTGTGAAGGACCAAATGGCAAATATTTGGGGCTTCACGGGCCGACGGTCTCTGGGTCTCCACTACTCAACTCAGCTGCTGTACAAACGAAAACAAATGGCATGGCTGTATTCCAATAAAATTTTATTTACGCAAACAGGTGGTGAGCTGGATTTGGCCAGTGGGCCACGGTTTGCCAACACGTGGTCTAGAAGAGCCCTGCCCGATAGAAATATAATGGGATCCACATAGGTAGTGTTAAATTTATACTGTAATAATGTTGTATGGTGACAGATGGTGACTACACGGTGCTGAGCACTGAATCAAGTACAGAATTGTTGAATCAGTATGCTGTCCACCTGAAACTAATATAACACGGCATGTCAACTACGATAATAAAGAAACAAATAATTTTTAAAATGTAAAAGAAATACTTAAAGGGAACAAGTAAACTTAATTTCAATAGCATATTTTATTTAACCCAACATATCAAAAACTGCGGGTAGCCACCTAGTCCCCTTGGGGTCCCACTGAGAGCGCCCCTGTCAGCAGAATGGACACAGCCCCGGAGGAGGCCGAGGAGGTCTTAATGAGAGATGCAGGTGTAAAGGCAAGATGCTGCCCCCGCTTCAGGAAGCGGCGGAGCTCCTGGACCAGATTCCTTCCCAAAACCGAGGGAGAGAACTCCCTGGAAAAATCTCTCACGACTCCCTGCAAGGGGGGCGTGGAACATGCCATCTTGTGTGGTAGAATACTTCCTTAACTCCTAGGCCTGCAGTCCCGCCCCCGGTCACTGTCACGGGAGTGGAGAGAGGAGCCCCTGGCCGGGGGGTTGGGGGGGTGGGGGAGGATGTTCACGTGCAAGGGGGGGGGGGCGGGGGGCGGCTCCCAATGCGTTTGGAAGAAGGATCCCACCTGTGCCGGCCAGTCCCAGATTTGTTGGCATTAGGATTGCAGACTTACCCCAAGGAAGGGGCAAAGAGGCGTGCTTATCAGAGGGACCATGCCCGTGGAACCTTCGGCTGGAGCCAGAAAGTGCTGGGTCTGGCAAGTGGCTGCCCACAGAGGTGGCTAGAGCCACAACCCTGACCTTGAGCTGCAGGCAACGAGAACTCTGAACGGCCTGGCACAGTACTGCCTTAAAAATGCTCAGGATCCAATCTCATCAAGGCCGTTGAAATCACTGCAAGAGACAAAAGTCACGACATTAGCTTGAACGGAATATTCAAGAGCTCGCTGCCCAGGAAGAGGGCGGCGTGCTGGTTAGCAGTTATCACGAAGAGTAAAAGAATTCGATCTGTATCCTGTGGGTCGAGACTCCTCCAATAACAGGGTCTCCATGAGTAGGATTTTCACTCCATGAAGACAGGAAATTGAAGTCTGCTATAATTATAAAGGCTTGAGAAACCAAAACCATGACGTAGAAAATTTTCCATATAATTGATAGCTGTAGCCTGACCGACGGGACAATTTCAGCTTGAATTACTGTTGAGAAAAAGAGAAGGAGCCCCTGACATCAGGAGCTAGCAGGCACTCCCAGCTAGGCCTGGGTGTTCTCCTCTCGAACAGGCACGGTTTCATAGAACATTAACATCAGACAAGGCCACCCTGTGACCAGGATGAATGAAGACAACAACAAGACTCCTCCGTAAACATGTTGGGTCATAGACAAAACACGGACATTGTCCAAGCCACAAAATAGAAAGCCTCCCCCTCCCCTGGCTACTATGAGTGACTGCTGCTTCTTTATCAAGTACAGCCTTGGCCTTGTTCTCGTCTTCCCTCCTCCTGGTTGAGATTTATTGCAATACCCAAGCCCAGAATTAGCCCTGCTTCCTGAGGTCGTGCCATCCAGAGCAAAGTCTTGCTTCCTTACACCCTCCCCAGAGTCAAGCAATAGAAGTTCAAATCCTCTGCATAGGCCAGGGGAGGTCAGGTGCTTTCCCTGCATCAGGGTAAACTAAGGCATCGGTACCTAAGAAGAGAAATAATTAAGGATTTACATGGTCACAGTATCCATGGCAATGACTCAGTCACCGCTAACTGAGGATGGGGAGTCAGGAGCTGGGTAACCAGTGTCTCCTGAGCTGTATGCCTGGTGTACATTAGCTACCTTGATCCTCAGAGCAACTTCCCAAGGAAGACATGGTGTCCACTTCATCCTGCGTAACTGGACATCCACTTGCCCAAGGTCCAACACGAGGTGACAGGGAATTTGATCCCAGAGTCAATTGCCTGGGAGCCCCATGGCTCCGGGAGTTCCCATGGCTCTTAGAGTATGTGACTCCCATCACCTCACATGACAGAGGAAGCAGGGTGATTGGGGGCAAAGGCATGAAGGGAGAGAAGGCCAGATAACTGTGGGAGAATGTCTCAGGCCCTGTGTTTGGTTTCAAGCACAGAAACTCAACTCTGGGGACACCTGGGTGGCTCAGTTGGTTAAGCGTCTGCCTTCGGCTCGGGTCATGATCCTGGGGTCCTGGGATCGAGCCCCGCATCAGGCTCCCCGCTCAGCGGGGAGTCTGCTTTTCCCTCTGCCTCTGCCGCTCCCCCTGCTTGTACGTGCTCTCTCGCTCTCTCTCTCTGACAAATAAATAAATAAAATCTTAAAAAAAAAAAAAAAGAAACTCAACTCTGGAGATCTTAAAGAGAAGAGGAATGTATTTGGAAGTTTATAGTACAGCTGAGCGACTCAATGCGACGGCTCTAGAAACACGCCCAGAAAACCGCGGGCTGCGAGGTTAGGAAACAGGAAGGGTTTGGGAACTGACGGCAAGCCTGGTGCGTACAGCCTGCTGATCCGATTTCCTTTAGCCCTCTTCGCATGCTCGGCTCAGCCTCTTGCCAGCCAAGGCCCCTCAGCTCGGGAAGCCTGGGCCGGGGTGCCCAGAGGGCTCTGAGGGCGATGGAGTGTAGTCACTGTGCTCGAGGGCCTCACAAGCTCCCAGGGGAGCGATAATCCTGTCAGGACAACAATAAAAGCAGTAGTGGGGTAACAGCGCCCATAAAATGCTAATGGAAGTAACAAAAAGGTAGCAATTAGTTCCACAAGAGGAGCACCCACGGGAGAGCTTTGTGGAACTGTCCATATTGCCTGAGAAATGTTCTATTTCCTCACCTTTTGGAATCTCAATTCCCAAACCAGATCAGGGAGTGTAATTTCTTTTTTTTTTTTTTAAAGATTTTATTTATTTATTTATTAGAGAGCAAGCGAGAGAGAAACAGCATGAGAGGGGAGAGGGTCAGAGGGAGAAGCAGGCTCCCTGCTGAGCAGGGAGCCCGATGCGGGACTCGATCCCGGGACTCCAGGGTCATGACCTGAGCCGAAGGCAGTCGCTTAACCAACTGAGCCACCCAGGTGCCCGGGAGTGTAATTTCTAATCTCGTCACTGAAAAGAACCCCTGGCATGGTGTGGGGTGCGAGCCAGTGCCCAGGATGATAGCCCTCTTTCCCTGGGCCAGGCTACAGCCCAGCACCCTGCCCGACACACGGAAATCACCAGCGAGGGACACAACACGCAACGTTCCTCCTTCCCGGCTGGCCTAGGCGCACTACGGGAAAAAGAAAGATCTATTATGAACCACTGGCATTTCACGCATTTTGTTTAATTCCCCGATTAATACAATGCAAACCAGCTCTCTTCAAGCCCACTACTTTCGTTGCCAACAGCTCTTTCAGTAGTTTAACGAAATTTCATGGAATTGTTTTATCTACACCAAGAAACTAAGGACTTTGGAGTTTTGCCTGTAAGATGATTTAATTAGTATACTTTAATCACTTAAATCATAATGTCCTTATTTTAAATTCTTTAAACTCGTACGTGAAGTTCCTTTTGGAAACCAGATACTCCGGGCTGTTTCATGGACTATTACCTTTACTGCTGCAGAAGTTGAAGCCCTTGCAATTACGTTGGTGGGAAGCGTGATTCTCCACAGAGGGGGTCAGCTCCTCCCAAGTAGGAGGGGGAGGGTCTGCATCACTTGGGGGGCTTTTCCCTGGCACATGTGTCCCCAGGAAATTCTCATTCCCCTGCTTCTGGTGGAGTACCTTGCCAGAGTACCTTCCTGTTGCTTTGAGGAGGGTGTATGGATATTCCCCCAAAGAATGGTGGGAACCGTTGCTTTAGGGAGAGAGGCCAGCTTGCAGCTCAGACCAGGTACTGGATGTGCACACCTTGATGGAGTGCTTGCAACAAGGTCCAGTTCTCGACCTTTCCTGAAGTAGGATGTCTGATGGATGGTGAGAACATCAGCCCAGACCCTCCAAACAGCGCTGACGACACACAGGCAAAATCCTTACATTTTTGAGTCTCCATGTAGCCCATCCCTTCATTCTGTCAACATCACCCCGGCTCTGCCACCATAACTAAAATCTGGTGATTTCAATTTTCTTGAGAGTGGTGGCAACCCCCAGCATATCAGCAGCTTCTCTACAGATACCTTTTTAGGTCAATACTCCCCTCTGTAATAAAATTCATGGAATATTTCCCATCCTTGTCATCTTTATTTTTTATTATGACTTCCTTTTGGACACTTTATATTCATTGTTCTCCTTTTTAGTATTCATCATGGACTCAGCCTTCCAAAGACACAACTGTCTGGTAAAAACAAATATTTTATACGCCCCCTGTTTTCCCCTGAGGGAGGATATGATATCCAATACTCCCAAAATGCTCTTTTTTAAAAAATTTTTTATTGTTATGTTAATCCCCATACATTACAACATTAGTTTTTGATGTAGTGTTCCATGATTCATTGTGCATAACACCCAGTGATCCATGCAGTACGTGCCCTCCTTAATACCTATCACCAGGCTAACCCAACCTCCCCCACCGCCCAGAACCCTCAGTTTGTTTTTCAGAGTCCATCGTCTCTCATGGTTCGTCTCCCCCTCCGATTTCCCCCCTTCATTCTTCCCCTCCTGCTACCTTCTTCTTCTTCTTCTTCTTCTTTTTTTTTCTTAACATATATTGCATTATTTGTTTCAGAGGTACAGATCTGAGATTCAATAGTCTTGCACAATTCACAGCGCTTACCAGAGCACATACCCTCCCCAGTGTCTATCACCCAGTCACCCCATCCCTCCCACCCCACCCCCCACTCCAGCAACCCTCAGTTTGTTTCCTGAGATTAAGAATTCCTCGTATCAGTGAGGTCATATGATACATGTCTTTCTCTGATTGACTTATTTCGTTCAGCATAACACCCTCCAGTTCCATCCACGTCATTGCAAATGGCAAGATCTCATTCCTTTTGATGGCTGCATAATATTCCATTGTATATATATACCACATATTCTTTATCCACACAAAATGCTCTTTTGATGGAAAATAGAATTAGAAGCCCAAATCCGGGCATTCGGGGCATATAGTAAGGACTTCTACATGTGTGCTAGTAGTTGGCTTCCAGGTCACTTTAGTGATAGAGCTAGAACAATTTTTTTATTTGAAAATATTTTTAACCCTATGTTTTAAAAGATATGGAATCAATGTAATACACCACACTGAAATAATGAAAAAAAAAAAAAACCCACATGATCATCTCTATTGATGCAGAAAAAGCATTTGACAAAATTCAACACACTTTTATGAGAAAAACATTAAAAAAACTAGGAATAAAAGAAAGTAATTTCAACATAATAAAGGCCATATGTGAAACACTCACAGTGAACACCATACTCAATGGTGAAAGACTGAAAACTTTTCCTCTAAGATCAGAAACAAGGCGGGGGGGGAGCCCATTTTTACCACTTCTATTCAATATAGTACTAGAAGTCCTAGCCAGAGAGATCAGGTAAGAAAAAGAAATAAAAGACATCCAAACTGGATAAGAACGACAGTATCTCTGTTCGCAGATGACATGACCTTGTATATAGAAAATCCTAAACATTCCTTGAAAAATTGGTAGAACTAATAAATGAATTCAACAAAGTTGTCCACTACAAAATCAACATGCAAAAATCAGTTGTGTTTTTATACACTAACAATGAACAACTTGAAAAGGAAATTAGAAAAATAATTCCACTTACAATAGCATCAAAAGGAATAAAATACTTAGGAACAGACTTAAGGATCTGAAAGATTTTTACACTGAAAACTACAAAACAATGCACAAAGAAATTAAGGAGGACACAAATAATTGGAGACACATCCTGTGT